AAAACTTACTGCTGAGGTTTTATGAAACTTTAAGGTTTTGTTTGAGACAGTTTTGTTATTGATTCTTAAAACAGCTTTCTAGTCATTTTTTGTACTAGAAAGCTATTTTAAGAAGCAACAAGAAAATCGTCCCAAACAAAATCTAAACGTAAGTAATTAACGTGAAAGTATATAGTTACGAGGGGTGATATTGTAAATTTGATATTATAATTGTGATTGGTTGATTGAGATTTTTTTTTTAAATTTATTTACCGTTGGTTTATTAATGTTAAAGTTTTAAATAGATCATACCGTGAATAGTGAAACAAAGAAAAAAAGTGATATGTTTTTGTAAGTAGAGTAAACTTGATATTACTTGGGGGTGGTACATGTAAAAGTAACAAGCTTTTTAAACAAATTTGTGATGACTACGGCTCTGAATGAGAATGCTATGAGCATGAGTGGAAAAAGAGGGAAATAAAGGAGTTGAGATGAAAGATGTGATACTTTTAACTTGATGAAATTTTATCTCAGTTAAGAGAGAGAGAGAGATTTATTTCTTAGTTTTGCATAAAGATCTTTTTTTTTTAACATCATATATTAATACCAGAAAAAAAAGTACAAGAGCAAAGAAATAAAACACCCTAAAAAGCTAAAGAAAAAATAAGGGAAATCCAATCCCGAGGGCTCAGTATTCGACTGAGACTACCAGCATCCCAAAAGTCAATCTTAGACCGTCCAATTTGATGAAGAATAACGCGAAGCAGCCAACCCAACTGAGCAAAGGATCTCCACCGAAGGTTGCCAAGAAATTGCCAATTGAGAGACGAGCCCCAGCCACATCATAGCCCGGCCAAAAAACAATAACAATTGGATAAAGCCAAAAGAGCCAACACAAAGTAGCAATAACAGTCGACCAAAATTAATCATCTTCCACGATGGCCCCTACCACGAGAAGCAACAGAAACGGCCGGAGTGTCCCGCAACATAGCAAAAGAATTGCCTGGATCCTCATCACCACTAGACTCAAAAGAGGAACTTGAGTCAGAAACAGACCCTTGAAGCCAATCAAGGTGCACTCGAAGATCCAACCCCGAATTGTCCACCACATTATACACCAACTCATGAGGTACACATATATATAAAAGAAAAAAATGCATGTGATACTAGAATTTTAAATGAAAAACTTGATAAGGGAAAAATCATAGTGCTTAGTCCATTTGACATAATTTAGTACAAATTTGAAACTACATAAACTCACTATTATGTACGATTGTAGAAGGCATATAATTACAAAATTGAAAGCACTTAATCTGAGGGATTAATCTAAGACATAGAATTCAAGTTGGATGGATGAAGTGGAGGAATGCATTGTTGTGTGAAGGAAAAGTACCCCTCAAATTTAAGGGTAAATTTTATAAGTTAGTCGTGAGGCTTGCAATGCTTTATGGCGTAGAATGTTGACCATTAAAAGAGAAGCATAAATTAAGTTAAATGTTGTAGAGACGAGGATGCTTAGGTGGATGAGTGACTTTACTCTTATAGATATAATATGAAACGAGTACATACATGAAAAGGTTAGAGTAGCTCCAGTGACAGCTAAGATCGATTAGAGAGTGTCGCCTTTGCATGATTTGGTCATATAAAATAAAGGCATTCAAATGACCCAATTAGGAGAGTAGATGTATTATATTTAGCTTATGCTAAGAAGGGTATAGGTAGATCTAAAAAGATTTGGTTAGAAAATATTATAAATGATCTTTCTTTATTAGATTTAAATGAGAATTTGAATCTTAGCATGACATGATAGAAAAAAAAATGATTTATATACCCACATAGTGGGATAAAGACTTGATGTTGTTTTTTATTATTGTTATTTGTTGAGTAGATCTTAACACCACTTCTTAAGTCTACTTCTTTAATCCAGCTTGGTATATATTATACCTGAAATAATTAGTAGCACACTAAGTAACCAGACAATATATATACAGTACAGATTAGTAAATGATCCAATTAATAATATTTGAAATTATAAAAATACTCAATCAGGCTCCCAAATTTCAAAACATATTCCAAGTTAGTGACATGAAGACTCCCTTAGATTGAATAGACTGAGGAGTTGTCACCTTCAAAAACAGAACTCATTTTGAGTCCATGGTGTAATAATATGATTGAAGAAGACATATAAAACTTTATAGACTCTAACTCCTAAAAGGGGTTAAACATTGCCCTATGTTATGGATTGCATTTATTTCGCAGGCTCGACTGCATCTCTACCAAGTGTACTGAGCTATTCTTCATAGTCATTGTTATAGGAATCCATAAATTATTTTCTAAAAAGAGATTAAATATTGTTATTGTAGAATGATTACCGTCTTCTTTACAAACTTTAGTGCATTACTACGAGGAGTATTAAACCTTCCTTCATAAATGATGATGTGAGTGCACCCAAGATTTATAATCTCTATGATGGAGGCTCATTAACCCACAAGTATCACAACCATAAGATGACCTAAGACTTCAATATTATTCATAGGTTTATGTTGCTACATGCATGCAATCAACAAAAGTTTGATATTTTAAAGATAGAATATTTATAAATTGTCAGAATTTCAGGTCCTCGGGATGATCTCTTACTTGGATGTTTCATCTTGCAAGCTTGTTTACATGAGTCACTTCATATCTCAATCAAAAGAGATGCATGCACAACTTTTAAGGATCTATGGAACTCTAACCAATTTATCTATGATGACGATTACTTGATATCCTTTAAAAAATAAAAAGCTTATCTCACTTCTACAGTAATCATCAATTTCTCAAAGGCCTAAGATAACTTTTTTTTTTTGGTATCAGGGAGACTTTTCTTGTATCATGTGGTAGATATATAACTAATTATTTTTCTTTAAGTTCAAAAAGAGGAAAAGTGCAACGTCTTATCTATTATTTAATAAAACTCTCAACATAGTTGAGTTAAACTACCATGGTATTAATAATCCAGCACTTTCCATAGTTTAGCTTTCTAATAAATGACACATACTTTCAGTCTCAAAAGCTCCAAGTTGTTATACATTTTCCTCTTCATGAAGATCTACAAACTCAATTTCTATGAAATGTTAATGATGAAAAGTAGGGGTGTCAAAATTGATTTTCGGGTCGGTTTCAGGTCAAAATCAGAATTGACCCGGGTCCAAATGGGTCGACCTAAGCCCGACCCAGTTTTGCAAATGGGTTAGGAATTCGGACCTAGACCCGACTCGTGTGAGTTGCAGGGTTGACCTGACCCGACCCGCAAACTTTAATCCTCTTTCTGATTTCTTCCCAGCATGGGTATGAGCAACTTGGGCGCAAGCGATGCATTTGACAAGGCTGCCGCCAAGAGATTCGCTTGTTGCTGGTAAGAATTTCTCAACTCGGAAGCTGACGAGCACTAAGTTCTGAGAGAGGACACAGGGAGAGAAAGAAAGGTAGAAATATAGGATAAAGAAGTAGAAAATCACTAGGCTTCTTTTTCTTCCCCGCTCAACCACTGTCTCAGGCTCTCGACCTGAAAGAATTGAGTAGCACGCTGCATTGGGGGAATAAGCCGCATGGGTCCGTAGTGTTTGTAAGGTCTGCCTACGATGACTTCTTCAGGAGACAGCCAAGGCTCACGACATCAGATGACCTTTCCAGTGTAGTTTGAGGATTATTGTGAGATCTTCAGCAGAATAAGGTGCGTTGCGGCTAGGTTGCAAGCGTGGGGTTGGGCTGTAGTGTATTGGGTATCCGAGTCATTTAAGTTTTCGGGTCAACTCGAACCCGACTCGTATGACAAACGGGTTGACCAAAACTTAAAATTTTTTGGGTCAGTTCAAATATTGACACCCTAATGAAAACATATTATCTTTAGAAAAAAATAGAGAGGACACATATTCACGAGTTCAAGAATGAGAGAGATTAGAAATATGCTAATGCTCAAATCACTTATATGGATATAGAGAAAAAAATTACAGCACAAAAAATAGCAAGACATTTATGATTGTTCGGCTAAAAGACATATGTCCACTTCCCAGCCAAGTAAGATAGGCATCAAGTATTCTTCTTGAAAAGAGCACAGAAGAGAGAAAATATAGTAGGTAGTTAATACGTTTGAGAGGAACTTTATAAAAGAAGATGTCAAATGAGATGAGAAAAGAAAGAAAATAATAAAAAGAACAGGCTTAAAATTTCATGTAATGACCAAACTTATAGTCATGTAACAATCTTATAGCTTTTTGTGTGTAATCCCTAAAATAAGTTGATGATGGGTATTTATGAGAGTTGAGTGCTTTGAAATTTAAATCAACTATGATAGTTGTTTGAGGATAATGGGATTGTAGAGGCTGGATGCTCCTAGAATAGTAATGATGAACCATGAAGTTGTAATAGACATAGTTAATTCATAACAATGATTATAATTAAATTTCATGGGGTTAATGATAATGATGATTAATATCATATAATTAGAATGACTTTTATTAAAATCAAAATACATATTTTCTCACATAATGATTCTATCTAGCTCACCATAAAAAAATAAATACATTTAGTAAATCATAATTTTGGAGTCTCAAATTAAGCTAATGGTCAAACAATAATAGTAGAAGTCATATAAAAAAATTTTGTAGAATAAATTCATCATTTCATATAATACTCAACACTCAATAAAAATAAAAATAAAATTATGATTCAATAAATTAGGCTTCATTTGGGACGGCTTTCTTACTGCTTCTTAAATCAATTTTTTAGTACAAAAAATAAGCATCATTAAAAAAGTAGTCCAAAATGAAGCCTTAAGCTTCGTTTTGGACATCTTTCTTATTGCTTTTTAAAGCAGCTTTTTATTAAAAAAAAAAATTATTTTTGTACTAAATAGCAGCTTTAATAAGCAATAAGAAAGTCATCTCAAATGAAATTTTAATCTCAAATAATTTGTGCAATAAGAAGTCATGGTATCTCATTTATCTTTGCTTCATAAAACTATAGAAATCTTTGTTAACCTGTATTGTCTGAAGTGTACCTTTTAACTTTAAGCCCACCTTTGCTCTTAGCCTAATGGCCCAAGCCCACCACTTACCGGCTTGCCAAAAGCGAACCGAACTACTAAGCTAAGCCAACCCAAACCAAGAGCAAGCCGCCAACGTTATCTCTTTCTCCCGTCCACGAGATCCAAGCCCTAATCTCCAACGCACTCCAATCACCACCGCGGCACTTGGTTCCAAACGTCGGCGATGACCGGCGATCAGAGAATGCCAACATGGGAGGATCGGATCGAAACCCTAAGCCACATCCTCACCCACCCAACGAAAACCCCCTCACTCCACTCACAGCTCTTCGTCGCCGCCCGATTCCCCTGCTTCCTCCGCTGGGACTATCCTCCCTTCCTCTGCGAATCTGGAGCATCGTTTATCCTCCGGTGGTCCGCCGCCCTTTTCTTCCGTCGGGTAACTGGCCTCGAACGACCAACGGCGTCGTGGCGGAGCAAGTGCCCGTTCCAGCACCCGCCGCCAATGTTGCTCTCCTGCGCGGAGGAACCGGCGCCGGATAGGTGGACGCCGGAGGTGCTGCGAGAGCGGGTTCGGCGGCGATTCCGGCGAGGGCGGTTGGGGTTGAGAGTGCCGACGCTGCTGGTTGTCGCTGTTCCTAATCTTGTGCTCTTGCTATTGCTGTTTCGCGATCCCAACTGGACTCAGTACCGAGAGAAATGGTCATGAAGACGAATAAAAGTTGAGTTAGGATGAATTTTGAATTTTCTTAGTTGCTTGTCAATCAACTTTTATACGGCAGATGCATTTGAGTTTCACAATTAGTATCTCATTATCTCCTCATTGTCGCAAGCCCTCACCCCTCATAATCTCACCTTCCTCAATCTGGTTGTCTTAGAACTCATGTCATCAATCCCGACCACACGCGATATTGTCTTCCTTGTACAACCCAAACCTCATCATCCCAAACTCCATAGATTGCATTGACTTGGACCCCGAGCTCATTTGTGCCAGTGTGCCACTTCATCTTCCTCGCTAGATGCGTCGCCATCCCATCCATGATGGCTACATTTTCTTCGGACCGTTGTCCCTCATGTTACTTTATGCAGAATAATGTATTTCATTTACCGTCAATCAAACATAAAAATATATATATAATTTTGCGAAATTGTTTTATAATTATCAAACATTTCAAAAATTAAATACATCATATTTAATTTAAGATATTTGATATATCACCAAAAAATTGTCTCGATCGGGCATGGATCTTGAGGAATATCAAAGTTGAAACTTTGAAATTAATAATTCAAACTCTGATTTTAGCAAATTTATAGTCAAATTGAACATCTTAAGAGTGCAAACCCAATGACACTAAAATCAATCTGATCCGAACCGATTGGGGTTTAGGGTCCAAACCTAAGGCGAACCCAACGACACTAAAGTTAAATTGAACATCTCAAGAAGGAATAGGTTTAGGTTATGCTTTGTTTTTGTGGTGATTTCTAGATTTTTTGTCTTGGCGTCTTGGGCCCTATATTCGTCTAGGGATTGAGAGAGAACAATCATTCTCTCGAATTGAGGTTCAATTGTATCTTGCTTTATTATTTCTCTTGTTTGATTTCCACCATAAAAAACTACTGTTATCCTTTTTTTGCATTAGATTTATGAAGTTTTCTCATTGTTTTCATTAATCTTGTTAGGATTTACTTAAAATATTCAAGTATTTCCTATCACATTGCCTTCTATGATAAGAAAATGCATAAATACTTCAATATTGATTTCACCTAACATCATTGCTATTTCTATTAAATATTAATGCATCTCATAATTCCAATTATTACTTGTAGATTATTATAAATAATTTAATAAAATTAAGGGGTTATAATAAAATTTCATCATAGGTATAAATAAAATAAAGATTAGAATTATATCTATCATGTTTTAGACTCAAACGAAGACAAAAATTAAGAACTAAAAAATCAAGCTCTATATGTCTATCAACCTTGGCTTCAATTGACGACCACCTTCTTAACTTCATCTTCTATCGGTTCCCCTCTCTCCTTCCCAACCTCTCTTTTACGCTTACTCGATCTCTCACTTTACTCCAATTGAGCTATTTTGTATCATAATTTAGGCAAGATTTAAGAAAAAAATTGTTAAATCCTATCAAATAGTTCTTAAAGAATTTTACCAACAAAAATTTAGTTCATATATGAGAAATATATATAAATTAGAACACATAAGATTAGAATAAGTGGAGTCCATAATCTAATGCTTATTTTCACATGTTATCTTCTGGACTATATAA